CGCTGTCAGATGACATACATAGGGGAGACTGGACGCCGTCTCTCGGACAGGTGTACCGAACACCTCCGAAACATTACACAAGATAAACAGTGTCCCGTCTCCAAACACTTCAATAGTAGCGACCACCGGGGCAAGGCGGACTTTTCAATCAGTGCGATTGTGGCTAGCACTAACACCGCCAGCCGGGTCAATTTGGAACACAGACTTATCCTGACTTACGGCACTTTGACGCCAGATGGGATTAATGTTATGTCTCTGTTCACAGCTTGACCATAGCTCCGCCCCTCCACGTTCTGACCTATCACAGTGAACTTTTTTCTCCCCCCTTTTTTTGCCGCTGCTTATTTAAACTCTCACTCATTTTCCTTCTGCCACACTTCATTTGCTGCCCACAGATACTACTTACCAGCTAAGTGCTATTTCTTATTTTTATAACGTTTTTTCTGTTGTTTTGTTCGCTGACGAAGGCTTTCTGCCGACACGTTCGCTGTTTTGTTGCGTTTAATTTTTCAGGTTTAACCATACTCTGTTTTACTCATTTTATTTTAAATCTAAGAGCATTCCATTACGATTTTAATTTTGAGTACAGTCTTTAGACATGTCGTGTCGTTTCTGGAAAAAATGGATAAATTATGCGATAATAGCTTCAAATGTGCCTTCAAATTTGAGAAAGAAACACAGGGAATGTTCTGGTGGACGGAAAAGTTTAATTGCCAGAATTGCATTTACCACCTGAACCATTATCTACATTATTATTAGGTGAAGAAAGACAATCGAAACATTTTTGGCAAAGATACGCAAGTACAATTCATGTTTCCAAATGATATCGTTTTGTATAACGAATATTGTGCAAGAGAATTACATGCCAACATTTAAAGTGTATGGGCAAATCTATCATTGTTCAGGATATCTGCTGACACTGAAAAAACGAACATCACAATTTTCTTCAAATTTATTATATGGGAATACTGATCGATCAAACTTGACAAATTATACTGGCACTGACGAGAAATTATCACTACATCACACAATTTATTATTTCAAAACAATTAATTAATTTTGTTGCTAAGAAGTGCCCTTAAACAAATATATACTGATGTCTACAAAGTTGTAGTTAGAGCAGACTAAACATTTATCGGCCAACATGAGAGACAAAACTATCAATCAACACCTGGTCAAGTGGCGGTGATATAAGCGAGTTAATGAAACTCATCACTCAATTACTAATTACAATGTTTAATTTTATTTTAGCAAGAATAAAAGGGACGTTATTCAAAATCAAGTTGAGAAATCTAAAAAATTTGGATTAAAACAAGAAAAACAGTTACATGAATTACTATTGATATCGTTTGATGATTCGTGACCGTGAATAAAAGCATATCTTGACATGTCGTCGTATGTTCCATCAATATATTATCCAAAATTGTGATCATGAATGGATTAAATTTTTAAAAATCGTAAAACTAATAGAATCTTAACCCATCACAAGACAACAACAAAAACAAAACATGGAATTGGCTTACGATTTATGAGTGAACGCTTCTAGTCATAGTAGTTTTCCTTTCCTTATAACCATTTAAGCATATAATTTAAATACTTAATAGCTAGAACCAAGCATAAGTTTCAATGTCATTCAAATAAAAGGAAGAGTTTTTGTTTGTAATGACATTTTAAAATAAATGTTTCAATATTTATTTTTTTCCAATTGGTGTATAAACAGAAAAAATCGAAGACTTTTCGACGTGTGAGAAGGCTAAATACATCGGTCTACTTTAAAGCATGGTTTTTCTAAATTTAGTTTATACACGTGTAGTGCTTGATCCACCAATGCAATAGCTATATTATAAATTATATTTGACTAGATGACATAATAACAAAATTAAGGGCTCAACCTTCTAACACAAAATTGTTAAATGGTTTTACTAATTCAAAAATCTACTTATTACTTTGCAACAAACCAAAATGTTACTATTTGTTTTTTATTAAATCCCATGCAAACCATGCAATAGCTATGTATGAAAATAAAAATCGTTTAATCACAATCGCATGAATTTTATGTTGTGGAATAAATGAAATTATTTTTAGCTCATGAAAAGAAAAAAAAAACAAAAGAAATAAGGGCCCTGGCAAAAAAAGAGAATATTGAAAAAAAAATGGAATAATTCATAAGTTTTATTGCTATCTAACTATAGATCTCAATACTGCTATCTATCTATCTATCCATCTATCCATCTATCCATCTATCCATCAATCCATCTATCCATCTATCCATCTATCCATCTATCCATCTATCCATCTATCCATCTATCCATCTATCCATCTATCCATCTATCCATCTATCCATCTATCCATCTAACCATCTATCCATCTATCCATCTATCCATCTATCCATCTATCCATCTATCCAACTATCCACCTATCCATCTATCCATCTATCCATCTATCCATCTATCTATCTATCCATCTATCCATCTATCCATCTATCCATCTATCCATCTATCCATCTATCTATCTATCTATCTATCTATCTATCTATCTATCTATCTATCCATCTATCCATCTATCCATCTATCCATCTATCCATNCTATCTATCTATCTATCTATCTATCTATCTATCTATCTATCTATCTATCTATCTATCTATCTATCTATCTATCTATCTATCTATCTATCTATCTATCTATCTATCTATCTATATATCTATATATCTTTCTATCTATATATCTACTTATCTGTCTATATACCTATCTCTCTATCTGTCTATCTATCTATCTATCTATCTATCTATCTATCTATCTATCTATCTATCTATCTATCTATCTATCTATCTATCTATCTATCTATCTATTTATCTATCTGTCTGTCTGTCTGTCTATAAATCTATGTATCTAACTTTTTATATATCTAATTTGGTTTGGAATACGGTTTGCCGATCCTATTGGGTTCCCGATTCTGTCGTTATCATGTGTCTCATTGTGATCCCGAACCTATGAAAAGTCATAATCGCAATGTGATTCCGTTTCCCTCTAAGATTCTCTAAAAGAAATGATTGATATTATGATATTTATATATATAACTTTGACATTTGCATATGGATAATCAAGTGTATGTGTACAAATTTTGCTCAAGATCCATCTTTTTATATAAGAGTATTTCTTGCTAATAATTTTTTTATAAATTACATATGAAAAACTAACAATGAAATAGAGAACCCATGGGCCTAAACGGAATGGTATAAAACGTTCACAACCGACAAGTGTTCCATAGGTATGGTGATGGATAAATGTAACAAGCTTGGTCAAGATACTTAAATCCAATGGATAGTCTTTGTAGAACCCCCACAATTCACTTGTATATATATATATAAAATAACATATGCTATTCTATTCTATTAAATATAATTTTAGAGTTAGTCAAGTTCCATTTATTTAATATTAATATAAGTTAAAATTTTAGTTTTAATGGATAGCCCTATCCCTTGCTTATATATGGTATCCTTTTCTAAAAAAAAATAAATCAGTTTAACCTAAAATATTTTTTGACGATGGGATATATCTACAATTTGTCAAGATTAATACACCTTAAGCAGTTCTTGCTTTCCACGCCTATTTAACAATGCTGTAGATCCTACATAATACACAAGTGATAATGAGCAATTACGTGTACATTGAGTGGACCAAACGTGGTGCCCTAAAATAAGCACCACCTCGCTTAATTTTCTTAACTCAATAAGAAAGACTTTAAAAATAAGAACTATGTTTGTTTAATAATGGCTTGATTTGTTTTTTCCTTGGGCATTTTATTTTTTTTAATTGTGTGTGTGTTATTTAAAAAAATAATAATATTCCTAAACTATTCAATTTGTTTATGTCATTACAGGCAAGGCACTCACCAACGTATTTTAAAGATGTACAAAACATAATCGATGTTTTTGCAGTTGTGTTGTACATTATTGCATGGATTTTGCGCTGGATTGCCCTTGCTTATCCAACTAATGAAGGATGGATGGGAGCTGCTAGAATTTTTCTCAGTGTAGATTTTATTGCATTTTCAATAAAAATGTTAGAGAACTTCTATGCCTTCAAAAAACTAGGACCTGTCTGGATAATGATTACAAAAATGGTAATAACTTGTAAAACAAATAACTTTATAGCGTTACACACAATTTAAGAACAAACATCATGTTATTTTTTTCATATCAAACAGAATTGCTGATTTCATTATTACATGTTAAGTTTCTTTTTTTTTTAAATTTAGTTTCTTTCTATTACCACTGTTGTATATATGCATGTAGACACATAGACACATAGATAGGTAGATCCATATGTAGATATTTTCATATGTATATACATATATGGGTACATATTTAGAGTATATATAAATGTGTAAATAAAGTGACATATTTTTACACATATTGTGCAGTAATTACGTATACCTTTTATTTTATAAATTCAAAGGCGTTTCAGAAGACTTCAGTTTAAGGGACCTTTTTAAATGTCACTCAATTTTTGCAATTGGTCTAAGATAAAGCAACATATTCACCTCTTACTTGTTTGTCGACGTGATCCACCTTTCTATTGGTAATAGATTTAATAAAGACATTGGATTTAGACTTAGGACTTCATTAGCGTGATGTGATCCTTAACTGTGACTGCTACCTAGCGTACTAGTAAATACGCAAAAACGATTTTGATATTATGATATTGAACGTGTATTGTTCAAATAACTATGTAACCAGTATTCGATCGTGTTTGATCTTATTCTACTATTGCATATATTATATTATGGATATTATGCATTCTAATATTGCCTTTGCTGCGAGTTACGAAACGCCCCGATCCTTTATTGGGGATGGTAGGTTGTTGTTCCAAATCACTCATTACTTTTTTAACGAGAAGACAATACGAATATGAATATGTAACGGACTATGTTTTCACAAGAAAACAGAGAGGTAGCATGAGTGAACAGTGAATTGTGTTGACCATGTTTTGCCACGAGTAGAGTGGATTGTATTTTTGAGTTGCAAATGTGAGCTCCACGTTTTTGGAGAGTAAATTATGTTTTTGTCAAAGCGGTCGTTTCCACGCCTTGCTGGTAATAAAAGGGACAGTTGAGTTGATTGAGGAAGTCAGAGAAGAAGAGTCAGAGAAGAGTCAGAGTTGAGTTAGAGTTGAGATGTAGGACAGTTGAGCTTAGTTATAGCAGTGTGAGGACTTGTCTTTCTGAGTAATGGAATATTATAGATATATGTGAAATGATTACATTCATGCAAGGATTATTATTAATATTATCTGTGTAAACTGTAATTCAATAAAGTACTGTAAGTTTAACCAGGATTCAGTATTCTTATTTGCGTGCCTGGATAATAAGGGGAAGAACGAAGAAGTCTTAGCCGGCATCCTGAATTACTAACTTAAAACAAGTAACTATGACATAACCCACAGCATAAGAAATAAGTTACAATGATAATGATGTCAGAGTATGCGTTACAATGTACTTATACATTTATTGGTTGTTAATCATACCATGTACCGTCCTTCAATAATTAAAATGCTTGCTCGATCCAACATTGTCGCGAAGCAACATATGCTTACGCTGACAGTGATTAGATGTATAAATCAATCTACAAATTGGATGCATATGTACAAACTATGTCACCCTCCATATATCACTCTGAAATCGTAGCTAGTGGAACAGGACTTATCAGCTTATGGCTATTCCCTTGGATACTTATTCATTATTTATAATTTGCATTTAGCCTGGTTTCTATTACTGGACCGACTTACCTTGAAGCTGGAACTAAGGGATTGATTTACGTCCTACGCCAAACTACCTTTGGCTACTAGAAGGACTTCGAGATCCAGGGATTCTTACTAACATGATTTATCGCTGGAGAGTGATTTATTCCAATCACAGAGATCCCTTGGAATCTACGACCACAAAATCCGACTTCGCTAAGATCAAAGATAGAGACAGCTCCAAAGACCAGAACAGAAACACGCTTCTGCAACAGAAGGAAACTCCCACACGTTTAGATTCACTAAGATCCTCAGTAAAACTATAAAGGCTAAGTCCACAAAGATTGAACAAAGAACCTTGAACAATATAGCATTATTATGATGATACCGTATGTATGTTAGGTACACTAGACTCAAGTGTCGGACACTTGCATTGCATTCATTGATATACCTTTCTAATTGAATGACATCCATTTTGTTGCATATATATTAATCACTAAGAGTGTACCACGGAGGAAATTGTAAATAACGTTATTTAATAAATATATGTAATTATTTTCTCAAAAACAAAGACTTCCTTTCAGTCTATATGTATATAGATATGCTATTATGTCTGTGTGGTAATTTGGCTTAATTAACGAATCCCTAGACAGAGTGCCAAGAGGAGATCTCATAGGAGAGATACCCCTCACTAATATCTCATAAGTCAGATTACCACAACATGAATAGATAATTTGTCCAAACATCCAGCATAGTCTACATATTAGTTTAGCAAATTATTTGGATGCTGAATTAACTATATTAATACCAATAATTGGCATGTGATACCATTGGTAGGTCTATGAATATCATTAAATTATAATTTAAACTATTTAATTATTTAGTTTAAAAGTTGTGTTAACACTTTAAAAAACAGTAACAAAACTGATTGAAACGTTCTTTACGTCTATTTTTTGCACATCTAAAAAATATTATGTCATTATATTTTTTTTGTTGAATCCCTTTAAATTTGTCTACACATTATTATACTTAGCCTACATTTGATGCTCTAAATGTTGTACCTTTATAAATAAAAAAAAATGTTTCTTCATCTAATACATTTAATACTTAGTTTTAAAGCACACATGTATTTTTTTTGTTATTTTATTTTATTTAAGTATTTCTAAAGAATATCAGCAATGGCGTGGGATGTTTAACTTGATATGTAATTGTATATTTTGAGTGTTGCTTAGATGCCCTTTACATATTTTTTGTAAACTTTTTATCTTTACAAAATATGTATCCTTAAAATTGAGAATAGATAATATATACTGTGACTTTAATTCCAAACATACAATTTTCAAACAGATATAAATGTTAAGCAAACCATGTTAAAATAATAATGATAAAATACATAGTATGTTTAAAATTTAATGTTCTTTAAAAGGAAATAAAACCAAATATTTTCAATATATAAAATCACATAAAACCCATATTTTCCAAATCAATATGCAATGCTTACATTTTGATTCACCTTGGTTATGCAACTGGTTTTTTCAAACCATGTATTTAGGTTTTATCCATAAAAATTGTTCGGCCTAATTATATATTGTCAATAATAAAAATTTAAAAAAGTAAAATCTGAAAGTTTCCTACTGCCCCATCTTGGTACACATTTTAATCACCTATCGCTTGCTCTTAACGAAAACCACATCAAAGAAATACAAATAAAAAAATAATAATAATAAAGAAAAAAAACAATTTAACTGTAATTTTGATGGATACAAAGATGTAAAAAGATATTTCCTTACATTTAAAAGGAAACAAATTAATCAGCTATACTTTAATTATTTTTCTTGGAGCTCTTGCTCTTTTATTGATGTTGATAATTACTGACTTTGTATTTTATATGGGATATCGACCAAATTCTCCAGGGAAAAGCTTTAGGTCAGGAAATAACTATATGAAATTTAGTTGGAATACATTTTTTGCTTTTATTTGTTTGATTTACAGCATTTATATGCAAACATAGGAAAACCTTTTTATTTACTGTAGATTATTTTGATTTCTATTTAATTTAGAAAAATAAATAAATACAATTAACCTAATAAAGAGGCAAATAATCATGGTATACTTTTCATTTGGGTTTTATTTACTATAGAAATTAAATATTAATATTCAGATAAATAGCAGAACAAAAAAATATGCTGGTCACACTAAAACTCAAAGCATACAAATTAAACAATTAAAGAATATAAATTTTTATGCAAATAAAAAGAACAAGCATATTAACTTTAAAAAAAATATATATTAGCTCATACATTATATTTATAAATATATATTTTTAAAAAATATTTCTTTCTAACAGATGGAAGTGACAATGCCATTTTTAATGATCCTTTTGGTGTTCTTCATTGCATATGCCATCTCGTCAGAGTCACTTTTGTACCCAGAAACCCAAATAAGTGGTCCTTTCTTCTTTAACCTTTTCCGTAAAGGATTTTGGGCAATGTTTGGAGAATTTTTGCTTGAAGAACTGGAAGTTAAAGGTATATTATAATTTAACGAGTTTAATCTAATTATTTTTAATCCTTGTTTTCTGTGATTATCTACCAAAATAAGAATTCATTCACTATTAGGGTTAAACCTATACTTTTATGGCCGTGGATATCTTACCACAGTTTAGCCTTGTCAAAAGGGTTTTACATTACATTAAATAAATAATCCATTTATTAGGAGTGGACCCAAACTTCACGCTCCTGTTGGGATTGCCTGCAAGCATATGTTTTTACCTTTTTGTGGAAAAAGCCACAGAGTAGGCAATTTGGATACTTTGGAGAGTTATGTATATGTTGTGTGATACAGTCAGGCGTAATCTTTCAGTTGAGCCATCAACCGATATGGTTGCGGTTGAGCTGCATCTAAAAGAGCAAAGGTATATGTTAGCTCATTTTGCTATGTGACAAGAGACCCTTTAAAGGATGAACACGCTACCACATACATATATGTCGTTTACTTTTTTCAAGAATGTAACTGACCATTTTTAAATTAAATGAGTTCATACCCACATTCAAAAGTAAATTGCGAGCAGGTTGTGACTACATCAATCGGGAAAATTTTATTTCTTAATAGACAATTATGCACTAGTTTGAAATGGATCAAATTGATGTAATTTCTACATCGGAAATATTCTTTTTTTTTAAACTGATGAAGTTCTCACTTTCATCGCATGATTTTCTAACTAAATTAATCAAAATTCATTGTTATCATGGCACTAAATACCCCACGGTAACAAAATATTCAGTTTAAATTTTATTGGACAGTTTTTAAAACACCAGCAACTTTAAAGTCAACCTGAAACCTGTTAAGACAACTTCAGTTAAAAGCATAATAATGTGCTATCTAACTACAACTACAATAAACACATATGTTTTTATTACAAACAAAACATTAATTTAAAGTACATGTTGATGAAGTACATGTTGATCCGTTTATAGCTTAGCATTTAATTGTAATTTGGTTCATTAAGGGGAGGTATGGGTGAAAAATCTAAAACTTTTGTTTAGCTTTATATAGAATTTTTTTTAAAAACTTTTTTAAGTTGTATTGTAATGGAGGTAAAAAACAGGTTGAAACAAAAATCCATTGGTTGCCTTTGTAACCCATAAAAACATCCCCCATTTTTATTTTTAAAAATTATTTTAAATACTAAGGCTTTTACAGATATGAAGTTATTGCTATCAGATTTAAACTTAGATAATCAAGCCTATTATAAAACAATGTGTAGTGTGTAACGGGAATTTTTTATGTATAAACTAATTATAAATATACAGGATCAGAAATTGTTACCCCATTTTTTATACAAAAAATAGGGGTGTAGTGGAATTCTTATTCACATATTTTCTTTTCGAAGATAGTTATTTTAATCTAGGTTATTCAAATATTTATTATTGGTCATTAAACATACTGTTAAAATTTGGTGAGCTTTCGATAGAAAAATGAAAAATTTAATATATTACCATATTTTAATAGCTATAAATAAAGGAGAGCATAAGTCAAATGTCACAATTACTAAATTAATTAATTGTTTATAAGTTTTATTTTTACTACAGTTCACTATCACATCACTAAACGAACAGTGTTTATTACTAATAATAAAAGTATGAGTATAGAGTATAGGCTTCATTCAATGGTATATAGTAAGTACATTATAGGCTTCGCCTTCTAAATAATTGATACCGTACTTTAAATTTGAATCTAGGTGAAAAACAGATTGTATGTATAATATTTAGTGTTACGCACTGACTTGTATCTAGAGAAATGTATCTCCTATTTTAGTTGTAATTGGCTCGTTGTAAACAGTGCCTAACAAAGGACGATACCATTGAGTCACAACTTTAAAGAAATGACAAACAAAACATTTTCTAGTTACAATTAATTAAGATTTATTAAGTCTTAAGATAATTACAAAAGAAAAGAAAATATAATGGCAATTTTCAACTTACAGTATGGTAGATCTTGTACTGGTACACAGTTAATACAGTTAGAATAATGTGTCAATAAAAATGCGAAATAAACACGTATGTGCACACAAATACACAAAGAATAAAACACGCCTCGTAAAGTTAATAAAATATATTAATATTTGCCTTCCGGAAAACTTATGACGTTTCTAGAACAATCACATTCATTCTACAAAATACTATTTGGACAGTTTAGTAGCTGGTGGCATAAACACGAATAGATCAAAGGACTAAGCCACACCCCTCTGCGAACACATCGTCTCATAAGAGGTCAATCATAGGGCACGCACGAGAAAAATTATGTAAACAAGCTCTATATAACACCTCCCGTCTTAAAAGAAAAAAAATCATTCTTCAAAAATGGAATTATTTTCCATTAAAAATTTAAGAAAGTACATTTCTTACTTTCAAAATATTAGACAAAAATTTTCTTAACAGCTTATAAGCAATAACATTAGTGAAAATTATTTTCTGGACAAAGTATCTGCAATGACATTATCTTTGCCTTTAATATGTTTCATGTCCAAATTATATTCTTGTAAAAATAGGCTCCATCTTAACAATCTTTGACCTTTGGAGACAATCTTATTCAAAAATGATAAAGGATTGTGATAAGTATAAACAAGTACTGAATGTAAAGAACAACTGACATAAAAATCAAATTGTTGGAGAGCAAGAGCAAGATTTAAACCTAAACGTTCTTTTTCTACTGTGGAATAGTTTTTCTGAATAGAATTAAATTTCTTTGAGAAATAAGAGACATGATGATATATACTGTCGTCATCTTCTTGAAATAGAACTGCACCAATGCCAACATCACTGGCATCTAAAGCTAATTTAAAATGTGTGTTTGATCTGCAGTAGTCAACCACACCTTTTTTGATTTTGGGCCAAAAGAAGTGCGACGTGATTTTGTGATATGTCTTCTTTACTCCCAAATGGCCTGAAAGTGATGAATCATGGGCTAAGTTCAGAAATTCGTTCCGAATGGTGAAGTAACTACTATTTGGTGTACTTTCCTCCATTCTTCATCAGCATTTGCGTCTGGACGTCGCTATTTTCTCAAAAGTATGTCATCTTGAAGGTAATAACATAAAGGGAATTGGTCAGCTTCTTATTGGTTTAAAGCGTTCTCTCGAAATGTTACTATTTCTGGATCACTCTTCTGTTCTTCAATAAATTGCATTCGAGTTGGAGTCTTGTAATTACTAGTCTCTTCTTTAAGATTTGCAAAAAAACATTTTTCCAGGTAATTTTCAGGAAGAATTTTAATGCTTTTTTGTGAAATCTCTTTTGTGGAGATCTTGGAACTCATGGCCCTTGTCACAGCACATGCTGGATACTATTCTTGATCTTCTTCCTGATTTTCAGTTAAACAAGGTTCATGAGTAACGATGGGTTCGGCTATTACCTTCCCACCTGCTAAGTCATTGCCTAGCAGCAATTAGATGCCATCCAATGATAATGTTGGTCGGACACCCACAACCACAGGTCCGGAGACTAGGTCTGATTTTAGGTTGATGAGATGTAAAGGTACATCTATGCATATCAGCTCTACACATCGTAACAGGATGTTGCTCCCAGTAGCAGTAGATTCAAACAAGGGAAGTATACCCTCAAGTAGCAAGGAATGTGAACCACCTGTATCTCGTAAGATTTTGATTGGTCGTAGACTGGACAAATCACCTGACAGTGATACAAATTCCTTCCGATATGAAAGGCATGAAGTCTTGTATGACATCAGTAGTTTCTGGTGTAGAATTTGGACATTGGTTGGTAAACTCTTGTTGGAGTCTTGAGAACATTCGGCTAGGGTAGAGGAAGTAAAACTCTGTGTAGAGTCATCAAAACTTTCACACAAGTCCTCAGTAAGACGCCCTCTGGAGGTAGACCTCGTCTTGGAGCAAAAGAATCTTGGCGAAAAGCTCATAAAACTCGCAGTCGAAGCAGGAACTTGACTGGAGTCAATAAAACTAACCTTATTGTTCATTTTGAAATTCTTTGATGAGTCATGACAAACCTCTTTGAAGTTTGTATGGACATCTGGAGAGCAAAGCTTTTGAATTTTGAAAATGTATTTCCAGATGTATGACGAGACGTACAAGCGGAGACTTTGTGTTGTGTACCAGGATGTGTGGTCTTCTCAGTTTTATTCTTGAGTTTCCAGCAATCATCCCTCGTATGTCCTTCTTTTTTACAAAAGGCAAATGTGTCTTTTGCACTTTTTTCTTTTGTACCAGGCTTGTAAACTTTTTGTTGAGGTTTACTGTAAGTTGGAGCTGTTGTCTTATTATGCCTGTTATTTTTGGTGTCAGATGCTGCCATATGTGCGTCACCTTCACCACGGTATGCAATATGTATTCGCACCTCAGTAAGAACACAATTCTTGAACTCTTCCATCAGAATTAGTTTCTTGAACTTTTTGAAGTCTGTGTCAGTGTTGGTTGCGTGGAGCCACTTGTCCAGGAGTCGTTCCTTTTCCCGGAGGAACTCAACATGAGTCTGGCCATCACGTTTCCACAGTTCCCTAAATTTTTTACGGTATGCTTCGGGGACACATTCAAAAGCCTTAAGCATTAAGGAGTTTACTAGGTTATAGTCCCCGCTATGTTCCGCATTTAACGAAATTTGTTTCGGCTTCCTTCCGGCCAAGGCTGGTTGAAGTAAGGTAGACCACATAGTTTCAGGAATTTTAAAATTTTGAGCAGTTATCTCAAAATGCGAAAAATATTAGTGAACCTCTTTTTCTGAAAATTGTGTGATTACTTTTGCAAATTTAATTGCATCGCAACCCTGACAGGCTGGAGGCGTGAGGCTATTTTCCATTGCTACCAAATTGGCTGTTATTTCCATTTCTTTTAATTTGATTTGTTGCTCTGTTTAAGCTCACATTCTTTATCTCTCTGGGCATTTTAATCCCTTTGTTTAAGCTCTCGTTCGTTATCTAGATCCAGCTACTTGAGCTTCAGTTGGAGCTCCGTACTAACATCATGCGGTTGTGTGACTGAGGCCAGTTTGTCTTCAGACAACACCTCCTCATCCACTAAGTGGACGATGATCATATCTCGTATGGTCTTTTTTTACTGCCGAATGAGCTACATTTATTCCTAGAGCTTTAGCAATGGAAAATAGCTCCTTCCTAGAACAATTGTGTAATGCCTCTACTGATGGGTTTTCAACATCAAAATCCATTTTGACACAGACAAAATATAGCATTAATTTTTAAAAAAAAATTAAGTTTAGTGCACACACTAATAAAATTGAATTTAAAGAAAAATTGAAACCAGATCTATTGTTGGAATTGTAAAATGGTATCGTGTTATCAAATTTAGCTTGAGTATATTAAAGTAAACAGTGGGTCAAAATCAACAGAAAAACACTCAACTTGTTATTGGTGTAATAAAATTTATGGATTGAAATTATTCTCGGAAAGGCACACAATTTGTTAAAACTGGTGACTAAATGATAATAAAATATAAATTCGATTATCCCCGGAACAGAACACAATTTGTTACGCACTGACTTGTATCTAGAGAAATGTATCTCCTATTTTAGTTGTAATTGGCTCGTTGTAAACAGTGCCTAACAAAGGACGATACCATTGAGTCACAACTTTAAAGAAATGACAAACAAAACATTTTCTAGTTACAATTAATTAAGATTTATTAAGTCTTAAGATAATTACAAAAGAAAAGAAAATATAATTACAATCTTCAAGTTACAATATGGTAGATCTTGTACCGGTACACAGTTAATACAGTTAGAATAATGTGCCAATAAAAAATGCGAAATAAACACATATGAGCACACAAATACACACAGAATAAAACACGCCTCGTAAAGTTAATAAAATCTATCTGAATCTCCGTCCCTCCGTTCGTGCCTGTCAATCCCTTTTATAGGTCGCGTAAGCCCTGCCTTCCAGAAAACTTATGACGTTTCTAGAACAATCACATTCATTCTACCAAATATTATTTGGAACAGATTAATTATTTTTAGTAGCTGGTGGCATAAACACGACTAGATCAAAGGACTAAGCAACACCCCTCTGCGAACACATTGTCTTATACGGGGTCAATCATAGGGCACGCACGAGAAAAATTATGTAAACAAGTTCTATATAACACTTACCAATGCATGGCATGTGTCTATGTTTTTCCTGCTAGTGAAGTAGTGTAGCGATGCTTGAACTTGCAGGGACTAGCACTAGCAGTAGACTTAGTTCTAGTAGTTAGTGTAATCAGTCGTAGTCCTCTCCGAAAAGGGGAAGCATTAACCGTGTTTGTAACGGCAATTCATCAAATCAAACTCTTTTTGTTTGGTTATTTACTTATTTACTAGTTTTTTAAAACTCCTCGCATGTCTTTATTACCGACAAATAACATATCGAAATTGCTGGGCCTCACGAATTTAAGAATGGTTTGTTTTTACCGGAAGTGATCGTTACGAACATATTTCCTACACAGGAAACAATCAAAATGCTCATTTTATTCAAAAGTCAGGGCTAGATCAAGTGATACACGAAGTAGGACAGTAAAATACACAATTTTTCCGGCTATCGAAAGGTTCGGTTGCTTTTGTAATTTTCTTTGTGACAGTTATCTGTATTTATCTGGCCCCAAAATCACCATCTTTCCAATCATACCAAATGCATAGGCATTGGGCGATTCCAAATACTCATAACATAGGGATAAAGAAACTGAAAATAGTTGACCCAAATTCTTATTTTTTCTTATATGCGCTTTGTAAAAAATAATTTTCTATGCGCTCCTTTACCATTTTTCAGAATGCAATAAAAATTTAGTAAGATGTTGTTCTATCGCCCACAAAAATTCTTAAATTGCTACAACCGTTTTAAAATATTCAGTGTTGAGCCAGGGGACATATGTTTGTTTCTTACAAAAAAAGCTATATAAATATAATTTCAAACAGCATGCGCTCCTACATCATTCAAGCGCTTGCGATAAAACTGAGGTGAGTTGTTGTCCATAAACCAGAACATTTTTTAAGCCATTATAACTCTACTAAAATATTCCGTTTTTTTTGGCAATCGCCCCAAATTCGTGTTTTTTTCCATACATTAGGAGCTTTATAAAAAATAATTTCCGTATGCGCTCCTCTACGTCATTACAATGCGATAAACTTTTAGTGAGATGTTGTGCGGGCGGGCGGGTTTCTTAAATGATTACAACCATTTTAAAATACTCCGTTTTTAGCCAGGGGTCCTATGTTCGTTTTTTTCTATATAAGCTATACAACTATAATTTTAAGCTATACAACTATAATTTCAAACAGAGCTAAAGCATGAATGGATAACTTTTTAATCAAATACAAATAGTGATATTAAATTGAGTGTGTTACATATTAAGTAGGTTTCTGAAGTAATACAACAATTCTACAATATTCCATTTGTGGAGGGGGGTCCTAAATTCGTTTTCCACACTTCTATTATCTAATATAATTATAGTATGCATTTCTATACCATTCATTCGATTGTGATCAACTGGGTCAAGTGAAATGCGCACTACCGAAAATGTTTCTAAATTAGAAAAAAACATTTTACAATATTCCGTTTTGCCCAGTGACCCTAATTTTATATTTTCTTCAAAGAGCTTTGTAACTATAATTTCAAATAGAGCTATTGCATGTGTGGAAGTAGCTGAATCCGCTGGAAATTATTTTCAAATTTAGTACATCCATTGTACAATATTCCAATTAGGCCTGGGGACCCTAAATTCAATTTATTTTCTTAAATGAGCTTCATCAATTAAATTAATAACGTAGATATCAACACTACCGCCCTTGAACAAATGACACATTTGTAGTAAAGCAGAGAAAACACGTTTTTACATTTTTAGTGTAGAGAGTATTTTTGTTATGTGTATAAATAAGCTTGAATTTTGTGACGCATTTTAGAATCGGAAATGACATCGAAATCGCGTTTTTTTTTTCAATTAAGAGTATTTCTTGAATAGTGTCTTATAATTTCGGAGTTGTTTTGTGTTATGTAAATACATTTTACACCAATCGATGGTTTCTCAAGTAATTAAATAACACACTTGAAAGCATAGATATTGAACTATGGTCATTTTTACCGCTGGAATTTACGATTTATAAATTAATGAGAAACTATACAACTGGAAATCTCCTGCAAACAATGAACGTACCTGTTGTGCGAGGTTTTCATGTAAAAAGATGGGAGATCCTAACGTGTAAGAATTACATTCACCATCAAAACCATTATCAATATTGGTATCAGGTGACAATAGCCAATCGAAACATTTCTGGGAAAACATACGCAAATGCAATTCATGTTTCCAAATGACATCGTTCGGTGCAACAAATATCGTACGCGAGAATTACATGCCAACAATTAAAGTAAAGTGAAAGGCCAAATTTACCATCGTGTAGGATCTCTGATGCCAATGCAAAACCCAGATCACAAATGTCTTCAAATGATTTCATGGGGAATACTGATGAGCAAATCGATCAACGTTGTCATATCAATACGGGCACTAAACGAGAAATCGTCGCTGCAATGCAAACGTTATTTTTGCAACACAACGAATTAATTCAAATGTATAGAGTTGCACTTGAAAAGATGCCGACTGATGAATACAAAGTCATAGTTCGAGCAGACTAAACACCTGTCGGCCAACATGAAAGACAATACAATGCACCAACAATTGATGAAGTGGCGATCATTATAGTTGGCAAAGAATTAAACTCAAGTGATATAATTCTTCAGCACAGAAGTGTTGATGTTCAGCGAGTCTCAGAAACTCATCGCTCATACGTTTCATTGCAATATCCTATTTTATTTTGGCAACGAGAAGATGGATATCATTTTGACATCCAATTGAGAAATTCGAATAAGAAAGATAGTGCCATGAAATACTATGCATATCGATTGATGATTCATGAGTTGGGAATTACCTCTCGGAATCGATCGGCAAACAAACTTTTCGCTCTTGATTTGCAACGAGAAACGCACTTTGATATCGAAGTATTAGGTACGGTACATTTTTTCAAATGAATCTTCCGAAATTGGTTCCATTGAAGTTACTATTTTAAATGGAAAATTTAAACTAGGTGATGTACTTTTGCCATTCACCCCAATGATTCCAACAGATATGCCATTTGAATTCAAACGCCTACAGTTTCCGATGCGACACGCGTCTACAATGACTGACTACAAAGCACGGTAACAATCGCTACAAGTTTGCGGACTAAATTTGGAAAACCCATGCTTTGCCCATTGACAGATGTATGTGGCCTGCTCTCGATTCGGAAAATCTTCTGATTTATTCGTGTATATACCAGATGGAAAAACAAGAACAATTTTGAGTATTTAAAAGCACTTAAAGAAAAATAACATGCAAACACTTTCTTTTCTTTGAGTGGCATTGCAACGCATGCCGGGTACTTGCTAGTTTGAAATAAAAAAACATTGCCTAGATTAAATGGCATTATTTTATTATAAAAAATAATTTTAAAACAGAAAGTTATTGCTCTTATTTGATACTTGGTGAGAACTCTGTTAAAATTATAGATCTTAAAATAAATTTAATCAATTTAGCTTAATACGGAGTTTTTAAAATCTTTAAACTTGTAAGTTTGCAAAAAAATAATTAAACAACAATACTTACATATAAACAGGAAGTACTAATTCGTCTCATAATCAGCAAATGTTCGAAACATTGCGATATTTATAAACGAATAATGTAAACTTCTAAGAAGAATATCCTTAACTATACGGAGCATCAAATATATCGAGCGTAGCGATAATTCATAGATTCCACTAATTGTAATCCATTAATGACACAAGCTATTATTATTTTAAAGTTATTTATAAAATGGAAATGTGTTGTTTTTGTTAAATATATTTTATTTTTATTCCCCCATGCCCCCCTCCCCCTCCAATGACAAAAACGCTAAATGAACCCTGAATATAATCATAAGCCTAAACAGTATAATTTTCGCCAACTATACACTGATGGCGTGTTATCAAATTTAATCCTTTAGATCTCGAAAATATAGCTCGTGAATGTATTTAATTTTTTTTTTCCACAAATACTTTAACAAAATGAATAATAAAAAAATACATGATTTAAAGAAGGCATATCTGTACCTTATAAAAGCCGTTTAACTGTCTCTAAATCTAATCTAGCTTTATTGATGTCAAAATAGAAAATAAATGCGTGGAAGCAGACTTGTAAAAATTCCTCAAAACCATTGTTAACAAATAATTTTAAGCTAGGTTCAGATTTTCGAGGTGGTCCTTTCAGACACATTAAACTCTGCGATAAGCCCAACAAGGGAAATAAATGCATTTTGACACATTACAGATTGTGATAAGTCCAGCAAGAATAGATTCCTGCAATTAGACACTGCAGACTGTGATAAGTCCAACAAGGATTGAGTCCAGCATTCAGAAACTTAACAGACTGTGATAAATTCAGCAAGGAAAGATCTTTTCATTTAGACACATTACCGACTTCTTTAACCCCAGCAAAGAAAGAGTCCTGATTTTGTTGGCTTGATAGTTAGGAGAATGAAGGCACTAATAGATATATGCCATCCTTTTTTGACAAATTCACAACGTATAAACCCAGTGTAGTTGTCATCTTGTTTAACACTTCAAACCACGAAAATGTAGTGCATTTGCTATCTTGTTTTACATTGTTTTTGGAAAGATTATTTTTTTAATGTTCTAATTATTTTGTTTACTAATTTGTATTTGGTATTTCTCGTCCTTTTCGTTTAGTTTTTCTTTTCTTACATTTTTAAATCAGATCATCGTCCTAATCTGCCATCTTTAAAAAAATGATATACCCTAAAAAAACGAATAAAAGTCAAGTGATAAATTTCACATGATTTGAGTCAATTCGCCTTTTTTTCATTGCAAACACTGGATTACGCTCCTTTTACACTTTAAACGGATTTTTCGTTTCCTTTAAAAAAAAACTCTTAGACATATTTTTCTAATAGACTTTAATTTAGCACATTCTATTTGGAACTATCTGTTAGCAGGTCTTGATCACACACACAAATGTGATTTTGTCGTATTTTCCATTGTTGTAATCATTTTTTTATTTAAATAATGTATCCATGGTTATGTAATGAACAAAAAAGTTCATTATTTAATCTTTAAGATTCTAATGGTTCATTTAGATTTAGAAAAAAATGAAAGTAAAAGTAAACGCGAATTTAATAAAAAGAAGATGCATCAATTCTTCTTCTAATTATTCTCATTATTGTTAATATTCTAAGTTAAATTATTTTTTTTAAAAATCCAATGGTTTTATATTACATTCATTTCAGGCAGTGACTGTACAAAAAATTACTCAAGCTACACAGATTTTGAAACTCTCAGATGTCCTACCGAATACGGAAGATATGTGGTACCAATATTGCTTGGGATATACATTATTTTTGTTCAAATTTTGCTGTTTAATCTTTTAATATCACTGTTCAAGTAAGTATATAACTGTATTTTTAGTTCGCAACAAATCTCAAAATTGTATGCTCAGACTTTCAACCCTTCTCACAGTTACCACTTTATAAAACGACGCCCTTATTAGGTGACGTGGAATTTATTAATAAATGTAACCTACAAATTAATGACAATATTAGATAGCAATCGAAATATATATGTCCATAAGGTAAAGACCAATATGTTGCGGTGCCCTGTAATAAGCGTTATCACAATGTTGCATCTAAATATGTCAATATTTTAATCCTCTACACATTCATCTATAACAAGAGAAATTAAGCCAGCCAGCTGCCAACCCGATTAAATTTATGGTGGCAACACGTTTGTGGCAATTTGTATGCACACTTCTCTTGTCAAATATTTTTTACATTCCTATTTCCAAGCATTGATTGTCTAAATTTTAAATACAATAAAAATCTTCAAGTAACTCTAGTAGGTTTTCAAAAATGGTAACTTAATACTTTTTAATAATTATGTAAGACAGCCCCTGTTTACCACAGTACAATGTTCTTCTAACATCTCTTCATCGGTTTCACATTAAATTGTTCTTATTGCTCCGGATTAAAGTATATAGCATTTTTGCTTTTTTTCAGGGGAGGGGGGGGACATTCACCAATATCCAATCACATAAAGAGCTTAGAATAGCCTTCACACTGATAATTCACAAAACAAAACGTCACCCTCGTACGCCTCAATAACTATCATAAAAGTATCAAATTTAAATTCAACATATGTACACGTATGATTTCTAATTAAAAATAAATACAATTGTATAATAGTTTATATTCTAAAATTAAAATATGCAACGTCACAGCCTCTCAGCGGTGAAAACATGACATAATAATATACTTCAGATGCTTCTCTCAATACCATCTTGCGCATTACTGAATTCATTAAAGTAATTGAGTAGAAAAGAATCATGTGTTTAGATTTTATTGCCATAACTAAAATTGTTCATTGATTTTTAAAATCTAGACTGAAAAACTATTTAATAATAAATTAATGGGTACCTTTTCTAGATTCAATAAATCAATTGAAATATTGCGTTTTTTTTAAATATTACACTACACCTTTGCACCCTAATATATAATAGTGTTTTGTATATATCAGTGTCATCCTTAAATAGTTAAGTAAATTTGGAAAAAAGAAAAATGCTACAGTTGAAATTGTAGATATGGTTGGCTGAGAGGTTTAAAGTGATTAAGAATTTCAGATGCTAAAAGAAAGAGAAAATATTTGTAGAAATGAAGGTTAAAATTAAGTATATTTAAATAATTCTAATTTGGAGCAATCTGATTTGGAAAGAAACACAAACAGAAAGAGAGAGAAAGAGAGAAAGTTGAAAGAAAAACAATAAAATAAAGAGAGAGAGAGAGAGAGCGTGAATGATATATATATATATATATATGTATATATATATATATATATATATATATATATATATATATTATAAACATTATCTATAGAGCAAGAAAAAAGATAGAGAGAGAAAGAGAGGGAGAGATAAAAAAAGAGAGAGAAGAAAAAAAAAAAAAAAAATAAAGAGAGAGAGAGAGAGAGAGAGTAAAATATATATATATATATATATATATATATATATATATATATATATATATATATATATATATTATAAACGTTATCTATAGAGCAAGGAAAAAGATAGAGAGGGAAAGACAGGGAGGAAAGATAGAGAGACGGAAAGATAGGAAGAGAAACATTGAGAGTGAAGAAAGATAGAATGAGAGAAAGTGAGAGGGAGAGACTGAGATAGAGGGGAGGGAAACATAGAAACATGAAAGAGAAAGGTGATGCAAAAAGTCATTCTCCACATTCTTAAACTTAATTTTTAATCATACATTTAAAGTAGATTAGTGTTTGGAATTTTTTTTTATATTCTGATTTAATGATATTTTTTAAAACTTATTTTTTTTAACGTTTTATTGTTTCATGTAAAGTTCCATCATCTCCAAAACCGGCTCTAAACGTAACAGCTATTGGACCTACCAAAAATTTCAGCAGACTTTTAAGTATACAATAAGCTTATTTCCACTACCACCAATGACATTTGTTTATTTTTTACTGAAGAAAAATAGTCCATACTGTAAGTATTTGTTTACGCCTATATTTTCCTTTAATTAGTTTTAATGAAGCAGAGTATCATAATTACTATTTAAAGTAATCACCACCAAGTTTTTCAGTTGCTTATTGACATCTTTTAGAAAACTAAACATTGAGGTAAGCAATATATGTATATATATATATATACATAATAATAAAATAAAATTAATAAAGTTTATTTGAAAAACACGCTTCATCCCCAAAACCTCGAAGCGTGTTACAAAATCAACCATGTTAAAAGAGAAATAAAAACAATATAAAACTTAACACATTTAAAAACATACGCAACAATATAAAGCTACATACGAGCATACCCAGTCAAAGTCTTTCATACTGTTTTTACCATAAGCAACACAAGCCAATATACATTAACTGAAAGAGATGGTAGATAGCATCACCCCAGAAGGTGTTTGCGAAATAGATGTGTCTTTAAATCGGTTTTAAAGGACTCCAGTGTCTGGTTGTTTCTGAGATCGACTGGAAGTGCGTTCCAAATTGTTGGGCTGGAAAATGCAAAAGTGCGCTTTCCGTAAGTCTCAAGTAAAACACACGGTATCGATATTTTGCCACTATAAGATTGTGCCAGGTCATGTAAGCAGCGGTAGCAAAAATTTGCAAATTTGTACTCTATGCGAGCTCGGACCGGCAGCCAATGTAGCTCCCTTAGAAGTGTTTTAGCATGGTCGAATTTGCATTTGCGAAAAAAAATGGGATGAGCATTATTCTGTGTTTTTTAAATTTTATCCATGAGGGTAGCTGGGAGACCCATCATGACATCATTGCAGTAGTCCATTGCAGTGCATGATAACAAAAATGCAGACATCAGCCTCTTTGATGCTTCTAACGTTAAGAAAGGTCTGATGTGACTAATCCTGCGCAGTTTTAGGAAAATTGCCTTGTAAAGCATGTTAATATGATTTTCCATAGTAAGTGTTCTGTCCAAAAAGACACCCAGGTCTCGCACTGTATGAACAAACGCAATCTGCATGCCTGAGAGAGTAAGTGATGTAGTGTGTTTTACATATTTTTGTTTCTGAGCAGTGGTAATGGGGATCAGATTAGTCTTTTCATCATTTAATTTGAGCTTGTTTATGGTCATCCAGTGCTTAAATGACTCCACTGTCTTCTGTGTCTTACTAAGAAGTTAAGGGAACTGAGAGGGGATCACGGATTGATGAAGTTGTGTATCGTCCGCGAACATGTGATACAGCATGTCAAACTGCTTGATCACTGCACCCAGTGGCTGAACTTATATAGTGAATAGCATCGGACCGAGCCCTGGGGTACTCCGAATTCAATTATAGATGGCTGCGGGGTCAAGCCGTTTGAAATAACTGACTGGACCCGATTGTTCATATACAAGTGAAACCATCTCAGGACGGTATCTGTGAGACCGAACGTTTTTTGCAGATGTTGAAGCAGTATGACGTGGTCAAGCGTATAGAAAGCTCCCGATAAATCGAGTAAAGACAAAATGAATACCTGGTCCTCATCACAAGACGACAGAAGGTCGTTTATGACGCGCAACAGGGCTGTCTCAGTAGAGTGATGAGCCCTGTATGCAGACTGGAAAGGTTCAAACAAGTCAAATTGAATGAGGTGATCCAGGAGTTGGCGGAGAACGACTTTTTATAATATGTTGGAAATAAATGGTAGATTTGAGATTGGACGATAATTTTCCATCACATTTGGGTCAAGATTTGCTTTCTTTAACAGTGGCGTCGCTATTGCCTCTTTAAAAGTTGATGGAACAATTCCAGTTGTCAAAGACCTATTTATGATACAAGTGATGATGGGGACTTTTTCAACCAGACATTCATACAACAGCCCTGCTGGAAGAGGGTCGAGTGAGCACGACTTCTTGGGGTATTAGCAAGGATTTACCTCACATTCGATTCACGGACCTCAACAAATTCACCCATAGGAGAGCCGTTGAAGGGTGAGAGTTCGGGAGCATTATTGATGCAACTGTCAAGTTTCGCCCTGATCTTCTTAACTTTTGTAATAAAGTAGTCATTTAGAGTGTCTGGCAGCTCTTCTACGGCAATGTTATTTGGCAGAGATCTAGCCTTGTTTTTACCGTTCAGCTGACCCACAATGTGAAATAAGTCATTGCTTTAGCTGCTGCGTGTAATCTGATGAGTAACATACTCAGTCCTATCTGCAAGGACCAACCTCTTGGTTCGTTCCCCGTGGTCAACAAAGATTTGTTGGTGCACAGTCAAACCCGACTTTGGCGTACTGCACGTCGCTGCTTCTGCTTAGCGTCCTTAATTTCGGGCGTAAGCCATGGGACGGAAGGGCGGTCAGTAACTCGAGGTGTGGACAGTGGTGCATGTTTGTCTAAAATGAATCGGAGGCCACTGTTGTAGTCTGTAGCAGGGACATCTTCACAGCACCCAAGGGCTGCAACGTCACATCTAAAGTCCGCTATATCTATATGTCGGAGCTCACGAGATGTTACTGATTGCAGAAGGCGTCCTGGTTTGTGCAGAATTTCGGTATTCAAAACTTTGAAAGGCCGTCATCTTGTTGCTAGCCGAAAATGGCTGATTTCCTTCGTTACTGACAGTCTCGTTTCTGAAGTTATGTCAATATTATTGCTTTTGAAGATCATCATGTAAAGCCTTTAAACCAAGAAGAAACTGTGAAATTATTATCATAATTACAAAATTCAATTTCAGGGAAGTCAAAGTTGTCTTGAGCTTGAGACTACGCCTTACAGGAATGTATAGAATCAAGCTCTTGATTATATTGTAGTTTTATATGTGTTCTTGTTTATCCAGGAGCGTAGCTGGGAGACCCACCATGAGAGCATTGCAGTAGTCCATGCGTGATAACACAATATAATATATATATATGTTATGCACTGCTATCCGTAAGGAGAAATTAATCCAGAACAGTGCAAAACAAGACAATACGAAATGATAAAAACCTGAACGGAGATACGACACGCAACAATTCAAATTACAATTAATACGATTTCTTAAGTAATTAATGAATTGCAAACAAAAAAAATATATATATAATTAAAATAATCAACTGAAAGAGAATGGTGTTTCTTTTGCCGATACACAGTTAATACAATGTGCACAAACAAAGGTATTACGTTAAATGTGAATTCTCACATATAAATTGACACAGCTCTATTATCAATAACACTCACATGTAGTCTCGTGAAGTAAAAACAATCTAGTGATCTCGGCTCTCTGAATCCCCCTATATATCTATAGTTTTTTTTGCCGACGCATCCATAAACGCCGTACACATTGTTGTACGTTCTAACGTTCTTTTAGATTTTCTATAAGAATCTGATAGATACAAACTATTCATTTAAATATAGTTGGTAGTAAACAAGTCCAAGATTAAAGTAAATAAACCACGCCCCAAACTACGCAGCGTGTACTAGATTTCAATAAACCGGGAATTATGACGTTAACACGTCGTTTTCATAACAATATATATAAATATATATAATGTAAATTTGATGTATACTAACATACAATTTTGGCTTCTTATACTGCTAAAGGCAGTTGCCAAAACTTTTACTTGTATTTGATGTAAAATTTTATTTAATGTTAAAAATAAATTGTTATATTTACACAAATGGTTCGTGTGTAGTTAATCTATTTCAAATCTGAAACGCAGTTTGACACTTTTATAATCATTAAATCGTAATTTTACATATATTGTAATGTTTTTAAAACTTGATCTCCTGAAGACACAAAAAATAATTCAAGACAGCGATTTTTAAAAACAAGTATCCCTCTATAGTAATCCGATCTTATACGTATGTCATTTTTTCATATTTCTAACTTAAATTACAAAACTTACATTTTTTACATAGTAACAATCATCAGCCTTTATTTATATAAAATAATAAATATTAGGTGACCAGCGGCGTAGCATACGCTACCGAATAGCTCATAGATGAGTGAAGACTTCGTGAAAGACACAGTTGTCCAAATGGGGTATATACTGTATCTATTTTGTAACACTTGGAACCACTATGTATTTTTCTCAAAATAGCCCGACTCGATGTTAAAAAAAAGTGGATCCGGTTAAGCCCTAGATATAGCCCGCCAAACATTGACCACAGCAATGCGTGAAATCTTCTTCAGAACAACGCAAGTTACGGTGGTTCAAAGAAGAGAGCAATGAGTCTGGCTCAGAGCTTGCTTGGGTGTTTGCATGGGTGGCAAAAAAGAGGCAAGGGAAGGGATTGTCCTATTTATAGCCTGCGTGGTGGTGTTTGGCCTACTTCTGGCGAATTATATATAGAAATAAATATTACAAATCGTATGGAAGGCCCCGATTTTTTACATTTTATGATACGAATATAACTTATATGCTTAATAATGTGTGTACTAAATACAAAATATGGATGATATTTAATCTGTATTTTAATAAATACGCATTTGCTTTTAATTAAAACTTATTTATTATATTTTGAAAAAGTGTCAAAGAGCTTATTTTCTAGAGGCATTTACATAGATCCGAAATTTAAAGAAACCAAAGCAAAACAGTATTTGAAAGATATAAACAATGAAGAAAGGTATGTTTTTGTGTTTCATACATGTTTTTAAAAAAAAATATATTAAATAATATTATTATAAAATATTAAAATATTTGCATAAATTTAAAAATAAATTATTCACTTACATTTCACTTACACTTTATATATTCCTGTTCTTAGATATTTACGCAAACTCAAGGTAAAGCAAAGTGAAGGTAGGCATTAAAAAATACAATTTCTACCATTCCTTTTAGACATTGCCAACATTTATTTTTACATTGAAATTGTTAATCCTAAAAGATAACTAGCTAGACTCCATAACATTTAAAATAATGTCAACAATAAAAATAACTATAAGACAGTAATTAATATGCAAACATTAGTAACATTTGTAATTTCTTAACGATGCATTTTATAAAATAGAATGCAATTCGAAATTTATTTATTTTTTATATATTTTTTTTTGTTGTTCGTCCGTCGAAGTCGACAAGGACCATCAAATCATCCGGTTAGGGGCGGGCGGGGGTGGGGGGGTTGGGATTACGGTGAGCTCTTAGTTGGCTTGTTAGACCGATCCTTGCCCGGAATAATCTATGAGACCGTGGGCATGGAATAGTTGCTTCAGACGATGACCTAATGTTGCTCTTTCGGACAAGCCTGCGTGTCTCAGCTGTGGTTATTCTCTTAGCTTCATGGGATTTAGCCCCCTTCTTGACAGCAGCTCTCAATCTGTCTCTGTCCTGGGCTGTCTGCACCCATTGAGTAGGGTTTATGCTGAAGGCCTTTAGTGCCACTTTCTGTGAGTCTTTGTAACGCTTTCTTTGGCCTCCTTGTCAATGCACGTGTCGGCAGTGACTACACCTCCTGGGGGGAGTGATTGGGAAGCATGGTGTTGGTCAGTGCAACAGCAACGGCCTACTGCTACTGCAGACCTGTGCTGAACATGACCTTCTAATAACGAACACCACCTTCAGCCTGCCAACGCGCAACCGGACCTCCTGGATGCACCCCCGTTCTAAACACTGGCACCTAATTGATTATGTCATAGTCAGAAATAGGGACCGCCAGGACGTGAGGGTGACTAAGGCCATGTGTGGCGCAGAATGTTGGACGGATCACCGCCTCATCGTCTCAAAGATGAAAATTCATATCCAACCTAAGAGACGACCTCAGGCCACGAAAGTTCCGAAACGCCTCAACATCAATAGGCTGAATATCCCTGATGTGAGACAAACTTTTGTTGTCAGCCTAGATCAACGCCTTGATACAATCACACTGGACAACCAGGACGCGGAAAAAGCGTGGACCACGATTCGTGAGATGGTTTACAATACAGCCGCTGATCGCCTCGGACCCTCTACGAGGAAACACAGGGACTGGTTTGACGAAAACAACACAGCTATCCAAATTCTTTTTGAGCAAAAACGCCGAGCGTACAATGCCCTCCATGATGAACCAACGTCAACAGCAAAGACAGCTGCACTTATGGGAATCCGATGCAAGGTCCAAATACAACTTCGCCAGATGCAAGATTCCTGGTTGAATTCAAAAGCTGATGAAATACAGGGCCTTGCAGACAAGAAAGACATGAAAAACATCTACCGCGGCCTGAGAGAAATCTATGATGTCTCCACCTCAGGCTCTTCCCCTCTCCTTTGTGCTTATGTTTCTACGCTCATTACAGACAAAGAGAAAATCTTGGAAAGATGGGCGGAACACTTTGAAAGTGTGCTCAATACACCTTCCATCATTAATGATGAGGCCATTGAAAGACTCCCCCAGGTCCAAACGAACAATTCACTGGACGCCGTCCCAACTTTTGATGAGATACAGACAGCGATCCGCCAAATGTCCAATGGCAAAGTACCTGGCCCCGATATGATTCCTGCCGAAATCTACAAGGAGGCTGGACCAGCGCTGACGGATAAGCTATTGAGCTTAATCCAAATTATCTGGCAGACGGAAACTTTACCACAAGACCTCAAGGATGCCTCAATCATCCACCTGTACAAACACAAAGGTAACCGCCAGACATGCGACAATCACCGCGGAATTTCACTACTGTCCATTGCAGGCAAGATCTTGGCCCGAGCCCTTCTGAACCACCTGAATGCACATCTGGAGCTAGGTCTCCTACCCGAAAGTCAATGCGGTTTCCGCAAAAAACGCGGAACCATCGATATGGTGTTTGCTGCTAGACAGCTTTAAGGGAAATGCCAGGAACAAAATACAGACCTATATACTACATTTATTGACTTGAATAAGGCCTTTGACAGGGTCAATAGAGCTGGCTTGTGGAAAATCATGAAGAAATACGGATGCCCAGACAAGTTCACAAACGTCATCCGTCAGCTGCTTGATGGTATAATGACCCGAGTACAGGACAACGGTCAATCATCTTCAGCATTCCCCGTCACAAACTGTGTAAAACAGGGTTGTGTTCTTGCTCCCACACTCTTCAGTGTTATGTATTCCGCAATGCTGTCTGATGCGTTCAAAAACTCCACCATGGGCTTGCCAATCCGGTTTCGTACTAATGGATCAGTATTTATCCTTAGGAGGTTTCAAGCTAAAACCAAGGTCAAACATACCACGATCAACGAGCTTCTATTTGCAGACGATTGTGCCTTAACATATAATAATATCTATATATATATATATAAATATATAAATATATATAAATATATAAATATATGAGTGTCTGTGTGTGTATAATGTGCATGCATTAAAATTTCTCAAGACAAATATTTTAAATAAAAGAATAATCGGATAACAGCAATAGTAGAGTATGTCAAAATGCATTCGGTTTTTGGAGGGTTTCTGGGGTATTTCTTAGGGTTCTTGGAGGGGTGATAATCAGTTAATTATTTTTTAACTTGATTTTAATAAATAAGTTTCCATTCTGTTGTTTTGTTTCTGTATTGTTGTATGACGGTTTTTCATTTATTTCTTCATTTTATTATGTGTGATGCTCAATTTTAGTGGATGTCCATCTGTATAATTAGTATTCTCATTTTTTAATTTGATTTTAATTATGTTCGTGTTGTTGTTCAATGATTGTACATGTTTCTTTCTAATTATTATGTGAATTATTATGAGTGGTTCTCAAAGCATTATAGTAAATGTTGAGTATTTTCTAATGAGTGGCATTAATTATGTAATTTTCTATTGAGTGTTTATCAATTTTAAATTGAGTAGTTTTCAATTGTGTAATGCGTGGTTCTCAAATTATTGGAGTTTTTTTTTTTTAATATTTTATTTTAATATGTATGGCATCTTTCCGTCTGCGGGAGACGATAGATTATATTTATTGCTTGCAGCTCTTGGTGTGGCTGATGAGACCAATCCTCGAATGGTGGTCTCTGTTACATTTCCCACACATGAATGCTGTGGATCAGTATCTACCGGCCTTCCTCATCACTCTTTTTGCAGCTGTTTCCGTCCTGTTTTGATCATCGGCATGCAATGATCCTGCCTTCACGATGCCCCACCATAAGGATCGATCCTCTGCCAACTCCTCCAAGTTTGAGATGTCGATGTTGGCCGACTTCATGTCTCTTTTGCATATGTCTAAGTATCTCAGACGAGGCCATCCTATTGACCCTTTCCCTGTTGCCAGCTCGCTGTATAAAAAATCCTTTGGAATGCGAATCAGGTTGCATTCGCTTGACGTGTCCAAGCCAGCGGATGCGTCTTTGGATTAACATGGCTAGGACGCTACACATGTTTGTTTGGGAATGACATCCGTGTTGGGGACTTTGTCTTGCCATTTAATGTCAAGGATGTGGCGCAGGCATCTGAGGTGGAAGCCATTGAGCCTTCTTTCGTGTTTAGAGTATGTGGTCCACGAATCGCATCCATACAGAAGTGTGCTCAGTACGCAGGCCTGGTACACCTGCAGCTTAGTTCTTGCTGTTAGTTTGACGTTTGACCAGACTCTTGTCTTCAGTCTGGCCATAACTGTTGCGGTCTTACAAATCCTCCCACTTATCTCATCCTCCATTGATAGGGTGCTTGATATGTTGAATCCCAGATATGTGAATCTGTCAACAGTATCCAAGTCGTAGTCGTCGTTGATGGCGATAGTGGGGAGGGAGTCAGCGCCCTGTGGCATAATGTTAGTTTTCTTTAGGCTAATTGTCAGGCAAAACTCTTTGCAGGCAGCGGATAGGCTGGATACGAGGCTCTGCAGGCCGTCTGCAGGCCGTCTGCTGTGAGAGATACCAAAGCGGCATCGTCCGCAAACAAGAACTACAGTAGCAAGACCTTTCTTGTTTTAGTCTTAGTGCTAAGGTGGGCAATGTTGAATATTTTTCCTCAGATCTAGTGTGGATATATATCCCCTCGCTGTTGTTCTTAAAGGCAAATTGGAGTAGGATGGAGAAAAAGATTGCAAATAAAGTACGAGCAAGCAGGCAACCTTGCTTTACTCCACTACCCACTGGAAAAGCTTCTGAGGCGGCACCGTTATAGCACACTGTGCCCTGCGAGTTTTCGTGGAACTGCTTGATGATGTTAAGCAGTCACGTAGGGCAGCCTATATTTTTGAGGATTGGAAACAGGCCGCTTCTGCTGACAAGTTCAAAAGCCTTAGTGAGGTCAACAAACGCAATGTATAATTGCGTATGCATATGTTGCTCCCTGCATTTCTCCTGCAGCTGGCGGAGAGAGAAGATCATGTCTATAGTTGACCTACTTGTGCGAAAACCACATTGTGATTCTGGGAGTACACGCGATGCTAGGGTCTGTAGTTGTGTTAATGCAAATCGGGCAAAAGCCTTTCCAATGATGCTGAGGAGGGAGATTCCCCGATATTTATTGCACTCACTCTTGTCTCCTTTATTTTTATTGTAACGATGTTTGCATCTTTTAACTCTTGTGGTAGCTGTCCCTGTTCTCAGCACAGCGTAACAAAATCGTGGAATCGCCGTAATAGAACTAATTTTCCACATTTTAGAGCTTCTGGTGGGATACCATCATTGCCCGGGGCTTTCCCACTGGCGAGACAATCGATGGCTCTACGTAGCTCTTCTATGGTGGATAGGGTATCAAGCTCCTCCATGACTGGAAAGTCTGGGATATAGTCCAGGAAATAGGTTAAGACCTGGGTTATCGTTGCGTATATTTCCAAGTAGTGCTCTATTTAGTAGGTTTTTATAATTAGGATTGTAGTATTTAAAATAGTTTCTTTTTTATTGAAAGTCTTTCTTAAAGTATGTGAAGGTCCTATTGGTTGTATTTTAATAGTTTTTAAATTAGTAAAATTATAGTATTTTCATTAGTATTTCTAAACATTTTAAGTTGTTCTCATTATGTGTGGTTCATTTTTCTAGCAAGCGTTTCTCATAGTGTGTGAGCTATAAAAGAGTTTTCTTCTTCTTAGGAATAGGACTTTTTAAAATGAATAGGCTATTTAAGTTTATTGAGGGGTAATAAAATAGTTCTTGTTTTAAGTATAATCTATAGACATTCAAAATGACACCTACCCCAAGATTAAACCCCCAACAGCATGTCAGCACATTCCATCCCCACATGAGCCTGCCCTCTTGGTTAGGATAAAGTTACTTACTATCGTAAGAATTTAGGTCATTGTGAGGTCAGGATCAGTAAAAACTTTTAGAGCTGTGCTTCTAAGCACTTAAGTCCTATCTCTTTGTGTGGTCTAATGACAATTTCACAGTGTTTGTCTAAGACCATTGGAAAACTCAATATATTCTCAAAATAGACCAGAGAAAAATTAAAACAATCGTCATGACTACTGACCCATAAACAAAGCTTGTAGACCAGCCCTATGAATAATAACCACTAACACAAGATATAGATAATCTGACAAACAATTTCTATGCCAAGTGGCCCCAGCTTACACAATGAGAACACTCAATGAACTTAAATAAACGTATGTTAAAAATAAGTATTCCATAAGAAGAAAACACCCTTATGACTCACACAGTGATAACACTCTTTAGAAAATCAACCCTAACACAATGAAAACCACTTAAAATATACAAGAAATCTAATTAAAATACAATAAAAATACTAATTTAAAAACTATTAAAATACAGCCATAAAGACCTCCACTTGCTTTTAGAACCACTCAAAATAAGAAACGTTTGATTACCGTTAAATAAACTTAAATAAAATTACCATGTTAAAAAGAAGTATTCCATTACAAGAAAACACCCTTATGACTCACACACACAATGAGAAACGAGTGTTAGAAAATTGACCCCAACTTAATGAGAACCACTAAAAATATCCCAGAAAACATATTCAAATACAATAAAAATATTATATTAAATACGATGATATACAGCCATAAAGATCCCCCACATACTTTGAGAACCACGCAAAATCAGAAATATTTGATTACCCTCAATAAACTCAAATAACCTTATCATGTTGAAAAAAAAAGTATTCCATAAGAAGAAGAAAACACCCTTATAGCCCACACACAATGAGAAACTCTTGCTTGAAAATCGACCCACACATAATGAGAACCACTTAAAATATATAAGAATACTAAATAATATAATCAAATCATACTCATTTATAAACTATAAAATACAATCAACAGGATCTTCCACATTATTTGAGAACCATTTTCAATAAACAAGAAAACTAATGAAAATACTACAATACTAATTTAACAAAAACTATTAAAATAAAACCAAAAGAATCCCCACATACTTTGAGAACGACGCATTCAAAAATTGACAACGTTAATAGAAAAATTGAAAACACTCAATAGACAATTACATAATTAAAACCACTCATAAGCACTAATACAACTTTTACCATCACACGTTGAGAGCCTCTCATATTAATTTACATAATAATTAGAAAGAAACATGAGAAATCATCGCATAACAACATGAAATTATTTAAAATCAATTAGCATAATGAGATAACTAATTAAAAAAATGAAAAACTAATCATTACAAAATTGAGAAACACTCATAATAAAATTATGAAATCAATAAAAATGAAAAACCATCGTTCAAAAGTACAAAATATAAAACACAAAAAGGAACTTATTTATTAAAATCAAATTTAAAAATGATTAAGTGATTATCGCCCTTCTATGACCCTTTAGAAACCCTCTAAGAAGCTCCCCAAAACTGGCTTCATCCGGACATAATCTACTACTAACATCTGCTGTTAATTTTTTTTTCCCTAACATTTAAATGTCGTCTTTCGTATTCAATGAATAATCAAAATGGATTGCAAGAAACATGGCTTCCTACTTACGCCAAAAACATAATTTTATTTCGCATATCGCAAAAGTTTTTTTATCCATCAGAAATAGTTAATTTTGTATATGTATTTTGATTATCACATTATACATTTAAATGTAGAATTGTTACTGCATTAAACTTTGGAAATGATAATGATAATTATTTGATTATCGTTTAAGAAACATTTTAAAAAACATATAATAATATTATAAAAACAAAAATAAGCTAAAAAATAATTTTAATTAGATCTACGTCGCTTTCTATGCAATCCATTATTTCTATGACATGAAGTATTTTATCAATAGTGTAGAGTGATACATATTGAAATTTAGCATCTTTGAATTCTTCGATGAAGTTTGTCACTTTACTTAAAAGTTTAAACACAAATATTAAGACATTTTATCCGGATATTTTTTCTCTGCTTCACTGAATTACATTGTGTATCCAATTTTCTTATTATATATATTTAAACAGAGTATAGCGTGGAGTTCATAAGAAACGTTGTTGAAAATTTGCAAAGGTAAGTTGTATGTAGTATTTTAATAGCTGTAATAAAAAAAAATTGACGTATATTTTAGGCATAAATATAAATATATACAAAAATATATACACTTTATTATATACTTCTGCGTGCAGTTTTCATTTTAAATATTTTATAAGTTTTATGCTTCTTCTCGTATAACAAAAAAATATGTAAAAACGGCTGAAGAGAATAGTATGCAAGAAATTATAATCCTTCTAAGTGTACCAACGTTTATTTATTTTTATTATATTTTTAATATATATATATATATATATATATATATATATATATATATATATATATATATATGATATACTATTAGAATTGTTTCACATCTCCGGGTTAAAATGGTTGGCTTTTAAAGATACCTACTGCTGGAGTTTACCATATACAAAAATTCTTTTTAGCACACTATATGATATACTATTAGAATTGTTTCACATCTCCGGGTTAAAATGGTTGGCTTTTAAAGATACCTACTGCTGGAGTTTACCATATACAAAAATTCTTTTTAGCACACGGTTGTTTTACTTTTTCGCATCATGCCCCGCTTAGTGAAGTTAGGACTGTATTAATAAGGTATGTTTTCTAAGGAGAACTGCTTGTGCGAGAAACTCAGTGTCTTAGATTCATATTGGCCATTCATTTGGTGATGAGGATTTGTTAATGATTCATCGTGTGAATCTGGTTTTTACCGTGCATGGGCTTAATGGATGTTCTAAACCCATATGGAAGTGGTGTGTTTACAAATGCCCTGTTTTAGCATTTGATGCAGATGACTTTCTTCTCTTCTTCTTCTTTATGTTAAGGGACAACGATCAATTTATTAATCATTCTGGCTCCTATGCGTATAGAGGGTATTTGCAATGATTCTGTGTCCGATGTTAAAAGAAAATATTCTAATAGATCCACAAGTGTAAATCAGTCAGAAATTTATTCGCCAGAAAATTTCTGCACAAAAAAAATGACTGCGACTAGCATACATAAGATATAGGCAGATCAGAACAGAGAAATCTTAAGGAGAGATTTTGCTCAAAACATATTTTGAAAAGCCTGGAATAACTTTGAATTGAAAAAAAAAATATTTTGTTTGATCCATCTTAATTTTAATCTTTCTTTGTCTTTATAATGTTATGCATTTGTCTTAAAAGTCTCGGTTCATATTATCGAAATCCTTGGTTATATGTACATTTGGGAAGAGGAGGTCAATATGCTATTCATGACTTGGGAGAGAGGACCAATTCAAAACCAGAACATTTTGTAAACCCTTCTCAAAATACAAATTGAGAGCGTAACGGATGGTCCTATCTACTATATCACCTGAAATGGAAAGGAAAATTAGTCATTAATAGGGGTCACATGATTGAAAATTTAATATAAGCTTGTAAAAGTTGATAGCCATGCGTCCTCAAAATCTTGTGGTGACTCCTCTTGCTTCTAAATATGTGGGAATAGCTGGTAAATACTTTAGTCAAAGTTATGCTACATTCCTTATATTTTCAAATGTAATACAGTGATTACCTGGAGCCTTGCACCTCGAGAGAAGGCATACAGCCTGTTGGTAGGCGGGGTAATGTACTTCCTGGTTGTTTAGCACATGCGGATGTATAAGTGAGGCTTATCTATATAGATTAAAGTGCATTTTCCCAGTATTCAATTTTTTTTCTCAATAATTAGAGTTTTCTCATCAGCACTGAAATTTGGGATCATTTCAGTGAGGCAGTGCCGGATACTATTTTGAGAATAGAGTAAAAATTTATCAGATCGCAGTTGTGTGCCTGGCCCAGAATCTTGCCATCTCTGTCACTAAAAATGTTATCCTGCTATGTTTTTTTATTTTTTATTTCCCAGTTCTTTTTATTTTTTAACGTCTTTTCATGGATTTCATACGGGGTTGTTAAGATATGAGTTTTGAAGACGATGTTTTTTTTTTAACCAGCTGCAGCTTGTTTACCATATACTTTTTACTAACACAACTCTGTTGTTTTTTTTACCTCGGCTCATAAAGTGCATAGCAATTTTATACGATATCGCTTTGCGTGATGCAAATGATATACGAATTTGTAATGATCTCGAGAAATGGTTTTCAGAGAAATTGTTACGTACTGCTAAAATGTATAGAACGTAAACTTCTATGTTAATATATGGCTCGTTGATAAAAGGCAAACAACAAAGTGCGATATCATTAATGAGAACAGTAATAAAGAACGATACATAAATTAGGGCTAATTACACAAATATAAATTTATATAGTTAAATTTTAAAAAAAATAATTTTTTTATCAAGTAGAAAATAAGGTAAGGCTATTCACTTAGAGTACATAAATGAATTGGTGCCGGTAAAAGGTTGGGAAGATGCACACAAAACAAACACACACAAAATGCATAGTACAACGTATACGGTCAGTACAGTATTTCAGTCTTTTGGTCTCGGTTTCGACTCGTATGGTAATTGCAATCTCTTTGTCAATTTTTGTCTCGAAATCTATAGATCTGTATCTCTGCCTGTCTCGTAAATTCTAGTGATTTTGACTATAGACTATAAACAAATGGACATAAGCACAATAAAGACTTATTATACATGTATCCCAGGGAGACACCTTATAATTATACCAAAGCCATCATTGCCAAACTTGCAGTCACACTTAATTTATGCAAGGGATTTACGATGCTAACAAGACTATTGAATTCACCAAGAATTAATAGTTTCATCTGCTTCTGAACATTCACTCAAAAGGAAAGTATATCCTAGCCTCTCTCGAAAAGTTCGCTCTTTCCTTTAAACTGCGTCTTGCTGAGAGCTGCAGCAACTAACGTGTGTGGTATAAAGTTTTTAGTGGTAAAGTTTTTTTTTTTTTGAGTTTGACTTGAATTTTGATCGCCAGCATCGCCCCCTTTATTTGTGATATTCTAGCATTTTAATTTCTAGACTTTCTCCTGGGGGGGGGTAGTTAACTCGCTCGCTATAAATAAGAAGATCTAAAATAAACCACATTCTTATGATACCTATAAGACTAAAGAAGCTTTTCAGACTTACTAGATTGGTCAATTTGACTTTAATATTTGTAACATATTTTTTACCAGCTCTCTGTAAGTAAATATCAATTTTATTAATTAATGAAGACCTGAAAGAATAAAACGGCAGAGTCACATTTTAATTTTTTTTTAGTTATCACTCATGACTCATAGCCAGTTAAAAATAGCAGGTGCTGGATTAAGTTGAAAGTAGGAAAATTGGCCCAGTCCATAAGAAAAATGAAAACGAAAAAATTCGTTTACAAAGGATAAAGAAGCATAGTCCAATGTTTACAATGAAAACGGGGGCTAAACCATTAAACTAATGTGATACTTGAAGTCACGTGTTTTAAAGGTCCAACGAGAGGCAGCTCTATGTAAACAAATTTTAAAGATGGAGACTAAAAATGAAACAAATCATTCGAGAAATCCCAATTTATGCCATGGCAGACTGGGATGGCCTAAGGATTTCAACCACAGAGCTAAGCTCAAACATGAAGGGGATTCAAGGTACAGCGAACACAGACGAGCTGTGGGTGAAGTTCAAGACTACAATCACTGATGCAGTGAAGAAATTCATACCACACAAAATCACCAAACCTAGGATAAATCAGCCATGGGTCATGGCTGAAATCCGTAGGCTCATTCACAGGAGAGACCGCCAATACAAACGCATAAAGAAAAATGGCTCGATTGAACTGAGGGAGGAGGTACTGAGACTCCGCCGAACCATTCAACACTTATTGCGTAGATCGTATTGGAACTACATGGACGGCATCTTCTAAGAGGAAGACATCCCGTTCAAAGATGTCAAGAACAAGCGCTTCTGGAGCTAAGTGAAGCACCAAAAGTCCTCAAAAGTTTGAGTTTCTCCCTTGAGGTGGGATGGCCAATTGACATCTGACCCAAAAGCACAGGCGGGGATACTCAATCAGTAGTTCCAGTCGGCCTTTTGTGACGGTAGAGAGTACTCTGAGACTGAGTTCCTTCTGAAGGCCAAAATAGAGGGAGATATCCAGATATCAGAACAAGGTGTGTTTGCCCACCTCAATACCATTAACCCTTACAAAGCATGTGGTCCTGACAACATCAAACCACGAGTGCTCAAAGAATTAGCCAAAGAAATCGCTCCCACACTGACAATCCTCTTCCAATCGTCACTATGCACAGGAAATGTTCCAGCAGAGTGGAGAACAGCGCATGTCACTCCAATTTTACAAGAAAGGGAAGCATTCCGACCCTGCCAACTATCGTCCGATATCCCTCACCCGCGTCGTCTGCAAACTGTTAGAGCACATAATCGTAAGCACAGTCATGAAGCATCTTGAAAGCCAAAAGATACTCAATGACTGTCAACATGACTTCCGAGTCAATAGATCATGTGAGACCCAGCTTCTCGAATTTGTAGAAGACCTGATGACCAATCTGGAGAGCCACAAGCAGACTGACGTGCTAGTAATGGACTTCGCAAAAACATTTGACCGTGTAAATCATAGTTTGCTTCTACACAAACTCCAGATATATGGGATTCAAGGCACCATTAAAACATGGATCTCTAGCTTCCTCAGCCACCGATGCCAAGCAGTAGTGGTTGGCGGTACAAGCTCCTCCTTTGTCGATGTGAAGTCAAGGGTCCCCCAGGGATCAGTCCTGGGCCCCTGTTTTTTCCTAGCATACATTAATGACCTACCCGAGAAACTGACATCACAAGCAAGACTGTTCGCAGATGACACAGCAGTGTATAGGACGATCGCCAACAGATCTGACCAGGACCAGCTACAACAGGATTTCAATCTGTTAGCTGAGTGGGAGATGAGCTGGGACATGGAATTTCACCCTGCCAAGTGCCAGACACTATCAATCTCTAGAAGTTGTACTCCTCTACACTACCAATACGAACTGCACGGCCATATACTTGAGCAAGTTTCCTCCGTAAAGTACCTGGGTGTTACCATTCAAAGAGAGGTCCGCTGGGACGAGCATATTA